GGCAGAGTAGCAGGTTACAAGATCAACAAACAGAAGTCTATTGCACTACTGTACACATCAGACAAGGACACAGAAGAGGGGATCAAAAAGGGGGTACCCTTCACAATAGCCAAACACAAATTGAAATATCTAGGGATATACCTGACACCAAAACCAAAAGATCTTTATGAGGAAAACTACAAAACGCTATTAAAAGAAACCAAGATGACCTCAACAAATGGAAGACGATCCCATGCTCGTGGACTGGCAGATTCAATATTGTAAAGATGTCCCTTCGACCCAAGGCACTATACAAGTTCAATGCTATCCTGATCCAAATTCCAGCAACTTTTTCTTCAAAGAGCTGGAAAAACAGATTACCAACCTCATATGGAGGGGGAAGAAACCGAGAATTAGTAGAGAACTCCTCAAAAGGAAGGACAAAGTCGGAGAGCTTGCTTTACCCGACTTTAACGCCTATTACACAGCCACAGTGGTCAAAACAGCATGGTACTGGTATAACGATAGATATTCAGACCAATGGAAAGGGATTAAAAACCCAGAAATAAAATCATTGGCATACAGACAACTGATCTTTGATAAGGGGCCCAAAAATATCAAATGGGAAGTGGATGCCCTCTTCAATTCATGGTGCTGGAAAAAATAGATATGTAGCTGCAGAAAAATGAAGCAAGACCCTTACCTCACCCCATGCACAAGAATAAACTCAAGGTGGATCACAGATCTTGAGGTCAAACCCCGAACCATCAAGGCCATCAATGAGGAAATTGGGTCAAACCTGAAAACCTTGGCACAGGGATTACATAGGCTATCGGAAATCGGGAAGGACACCAACACAGAGGAGGCACAAATTGACCAGTGGGACATACTAAAAATAAAACACGTATGTACATCGAAAGAATTCTCCAAAAGAGTAATCAGAGAGACTACAGAATGGGAAAACATCTTTGTCAATGACACATCTGACAAAGGCTTTATTACTAAAATCTATAACACACTGGTAAACTACAACAAAAGAAAAACCAATTGTCCACTCAGGAGGTGGGCAAAGTACCTGAGAAGGAGTTTCTCAAGGGCAGAAATCTAAATGGCCAACAAATATATGAGAAAATGTTCCAGATCTCTAGCCATAAGAGAAACGCAAATAAAAACAACTATGAGATACCACCTAACACTCTCAAAGATAGCCCAATTCAAGAAATCAGAAAGTAATAAGTGTTGGAGGGATGCGGAGAGATAGGAACTCTTGTCCACTGCTGGTGGACCTGTAGGTATGTACAGCCACTAGGGAAATCGATTTGGCGATATCTAAAACAGTTGGAAATTGAGCTACCCTATGATCCAGCAATCCCCCTACTGGGCATATACCCAGAAGAGACAAAAAACAAACCTTGACCAGACATCTGTGCTCCCATGTTCATCACGGCACAGTTCACAATTGCAAGGAGCTAGCTGGCAACTGCCCAAATTTCCATCATCAGACAAATGGATTAAAAAACTCTGGTACATACATACAATGGAATATTACACATCCCTAAAAAGCAGTGATGAACGCATGAAGCAAATTGCCGCATGGGAAGAATTGGAGGAAATTATGCTAAGTGAAGTAAGCTAAACACAAAAGGACAAGTACTACATGAGTCCACTAAGTCAGCTCAAAAGAAAAAAAATATTTTTTTCAAAAAGGGCATAGGGAAGAAGATGCTGTATACATACGCCCCCGGGGGTGAGGTCCAGGTAATATGGCAGGGGCCAGACTAAATCCAGGGATACATATGGGATACATTTGGTAGCCCACTCAAAGGGAGGAGGGAAAAAGGTATGGGTAGCCAGGGAAACAGGGCACTAATCCACACAGGGGGAGGGTGCCGATTTTGTCTCCACAGGGAAAGAGGGACCAGACTTCAACCCGGAGCTCCAAGACAGGAACGCAACATGCTGACATGAAGTAGGGAACAGATGGAGAGGCCTGAGGGGTCAGCCCCATTACCAACTGGGTGCACAGCACCACCCTCCCCCAGGGGGAATTCACTTCAGAGGACAGCACTGAAGCTGCAGCTCCGGAAGAGGGGAAGGGGGACTGGTCTGGTCGGAGGAGCACGTGTGAGCCAGTGAGGGGGGAAGGGGAAGAAAAGGAAAGAGCGGAGCACATCCTGGCTCTCTGAGCCCTGGGGACAATGTGCCTGTTCGGAAAAGCAATGCACGGAGATGACCACGGGGCTGTCCCCACCACGGGACACAGTGTTCCTCGTTGACCCATTGCACCACTGGGGACAACACTGGAGACAAATGGCGGAAATTGCACCCACCATGAGCTCACCACCCCGAACGCCAGCCTCTGGGGGCATGCATCAGAGCAGCAGAGGGAGCAGAGCGGTGAGGTCCTCAGGGATAGAGGCAATGCCGGGGCATGGCACCCAATCAGACTTGACTAGAAAGCACACGTGAAAGAAAACAAACAGACCCTGAACTATTCATACGGTTATATATGTATGCATATGTGTGTATTGTTGTTTTTGTAGACATTGTTTTACTTTCTGTTGTTGCCTCGTTGCACTCAGTCTGGTGATGGTGCATAGCATGTCTACCTGGAAGAGATAGGCGGAATAAACGAGCCAGAAGAGAGAACAACGGGATGACAGATCAGGGGAACATGGGGGTAGGGGAGGGGGAGAGGAAGGAAGAGGGTATTAACAAGCACAGGGACAAGGGAACAAGTGATCCAAAATCAATGTTAAGGAGGGTGCGGGAGGCCTTGCAGGGCTGGATCAAGGACAATGTAACCAAGAGGAATGCCTAAAACCCAAATGAAGGCAGAACATGATAGTGGGACAAGAGGAAAGTACAAAGAAACAGAGGAGAGAACTAGAAGGCAAAGGGTACTCATAGAGATGTAAATACAGGCATATAAAGATGTAAATATATTTATATATGATGAGGGGGAAATAGATCTATGTACATATATTTATAGGTCGAGTATTAAGAAAACAGATGGACATTGGGCCACTACACAAGTACTCCCCCAACACAAGAACACTTTGTTCTAACAATTTGGCAGTCTGAGATGCTCACCTACCTGGCATAATCGCTGAAGACAATGGGTGCACAAGAAAATGTGGTGAAGAAAGCAGATGATGCTTGGCTACCAAAAGCTATAACACCCGAAGCACAAGCAAGTGTGGTGAAGAAAGCTGATGGTGCTCAGCTACCAAAAGATATAGCACCTGGAGCCTTAAATACCTGAAGATAAACAAGCACCATCAAGCTGAGAGACAACAAAACCCACACTGAAAAAGCACACCGGCCTACCCCTACTCGATCACTGAGGACAAAGGGGGTGCATTAGCAAAAGTGGGGAAGAAAGCAGATGGTGCCCGGCTATCAAATGATACAGCATCTGGGGTCTTACA